GTTTACGTCTTCGCTGGTTGTTATACTTTAAAATAATTTTGTATTTACCGAGAAATCAATATTCCGAGTATATAAATATATAAACTGGGATGTCACACTGATAGTTTGTTTACATTTTCTGGAGCATCAAATCTTATGTTTAACCACGGTGGTTTAACCCATTAGCTAGCAATGCGCCAGTCTCTTGTCCAGCGCCAGAAAATTTTACTCGTCAGTGGTACAGGGTACTGCCAGTAAATGGGTTAACAAACCTATCTGCCAATGGCTCTTGTTAATCCATCAGCACAGTAATGACTTTAGTATTTACCCTGTCCAACGCCAGACGATTTTTAATACTCAGTCAGTGGTAGGGCCGTGCTGTCAATAAATGGGTTAACAAGGATAACAATAGCCTGCGTAGCGGCTATCAGATCTACTTTCTCTGAGAGCCGCTACGCAGACTAGGATATCAATAATAGGATGTTTCTGAAGGACTCGTTCAACACCCTGTAGTTTGTCTTTTGCTGTCAAAGGCAGCATTACTGCCCTGTGGGTAACCTAGTATCATAGAGGAATAAGAGGAGTCGGCATCAAGGAGTTGGCACCATCAATATCTAGGTTAATCAATATGTCTTTGACTAGCAATCAATTTCCCTCAAGATGGAAAATAGCTAGAGTCACTGCGCTATTTAAGGCTGGCGAAATTTCCGATCTTAACAACTATCGACCTATCTCTATTTTACCTGTGCTTTCAAAGATCATTGAACGACATGTACACGACTGTCTGTTTTACTATCTCACTATAAATAATCTGATATACTCCAATCAATCCGGTTTTCGAAGCGAATTTGGCACAGAAACTGCTGTTGCATTTATCGTTGACTTTCTTTTACTCAACCTGGATAAAAATCTCATTAATGGCATGGTCCTATGGGGTGTATGGAGGAGTAGTACCTTTGGATCCTGGGCAGTCGCATCCTCGGATGGCTCGTGAACTTCTGGTCTCCACATACACTAAACTCGCACAACTGGCTCCAAGAAGTCGCATGGGCAATGCGACGGCCACACCCCGGTAAACTGCGCTTGGCTGGCAGGCTAAACGTTGTGCGGGGACAGCGGATTGTGGTACCGCTATTTAGGGCGTGCGTATAAGATCATTTAGCTACGTATGGTCAACCACTGCAGCAGATGTTTCCTCTAGTCGTCGTGTTAACATGCCACTGGATATTGGGAACTGATGCCGAGAGAGTGTGGCAGAACGTGCGCAACTCTGCACCACTATAATCAAACCATCTGCGCAGGAATTTTTTTGTTGGATATTGGATATAAAAACGGAACGATTGATTTCATCGGACTGGACATTGGATGGACGGACGGAAACAAGCCCAACGGCGACGGGGGCGTGGTGAAGCGACAAGCAAAGGATATTGCCCGAGTCGTAATCACAAACCTGCACGTTGGCGGTCTGCGATTTTGGTCGCTCTGCCCACCAAGGAGTGATATGGTGGTTCAGCAGCACCCCAGACGACGGAGCAGCCCTATTTAGGGAGGACACTGCTCCCCCAATCCGGGGAAGGGACTAGAAAAGGTGATCCCACAAAACGTTCACTCCACCAACTCGGTTAGCAAACCGCGGCTGACGAGTTTCCCACTTTTGCGGTCGAAACACAAAGAAAAAACAATTAAATATTGCAGTATGGAATGTGAGGACTTTGCAGAGCGAAAGTACAACAGAGCGGAGGACAGCTATTATTGGACTAGAATTGGAAAGATATAACATTGATATAGCCGCATTGAGTGAAACTAGATTCGCTGGTACTAGATTCGCTGGGAGGGGGGGGGGCGAAAATCCTGTGACACCGGACAACTTACTGAACCAACATCAGGATATACCTATTTATGGAGCGGCTTACCGGAAAGCGAAAAGCGTCTGCATGGTGTCGGATTCGCTATAAAAACCTCTATTGTTAAGGAATTGGAAAATCTGCCAACCGCAGTAAACGAGCGTCTCATGTGGCTGCGTTTGAAAATAAGTGAGAAACGTTACGCAACAATAATTAGCGCTTATGCTCCCACAATGACAAACGAAGAAGTTGTAAAGGAAAAATTCTATGCACACCTTGATAATATCCTGCGCAAAACGCCAAAGGAGGATAAGCTGATTTTGCTGGGTGATTTCAATGCCCGTGTTGGTGCAAACGTACATCTTGGTCGCGCACAATGGACCATTTGCATTATAGACTAAATTTTGATCTAGACAAAAATTTCATCACAGCTTGAAAGAGCATCACAAAATTAGTAATATTCCAAAGTTTCTTTGCGAAATGTTGTAAAATGCGGATAATATAGCCATGCGAAGTTTGCAATTTTCAGTCATTTTGTATTACACACGGGGAATTGACAGCCCAATCGGGTGTTGGGGCATCAATTTCCCAATTGTAATACAAAATGACTGAAAATTGCAAATTTCGCAAGGCTATATTATCCGCATTTTACAACATTTCGCAACGAAACTCTTGAATATTACTAATTTTGTGATGCTCTTTCAAGATGTGATAAAATTTTTGTCTAGATCAAAATTTAGTCTATAATGCAAATGGTCCATTGGCAAATATTGGGTCGGAAAATGCAACTTAAATGGTTTACTATTATTATCAAAGTGTAAGGAACATGAACTCGTAATCACAAACACGATGTTTCAGCTACCACTGGCAAAAAGATCGACGTGGATGCATCCAAGATCTAAACACTGGCATCTGATTGATTATGCAATAGTAAGACAAGGGGACCTAAAAGATGTTTGTATAACACAAGCAATGTGTGATGCTGAATGCCAAACCGACCACAGAATGGTCAGAATGAAACTAAAACTGATAATACAACCGCAAAGGCGAAAAGTTGCATTCAAGGGCGTCAGAAAGCTGAATGTGGACAGACTAAAAAGCAATGAGATCAAAAACGACTTTTCTGCCAAGATGGAAACTGCCCTCAACCAACTAGCTGACCGTCCAAGTGACTCCGTTCACGATAAATGGAAGGAGCTGAAAAATCAAATACTCAAAGTGTCGAAAGAAACACTCGGTACGAAAAGCAAGAAACAACCTGACTGGTTCGAAGAAAACATCGGGTCAATAATGCCACTCATAGATGCAAAAAATGCTGCCCATCAGGCCCTTGTCACCAGAAATACTCGCAGTACAAGTTCCCGGCTGAAAGAGTGTCAACACCGCTTGCAACGCGAAATTCGACGTCTAAAAAATGATTGGCTGATCGGAAAAGCTCGTGAAATTCAGGAATTCGCTGACAAACATGATGCAAAAAAGTTTTACGATGCTGTAAAGGGAGTGTACGGACCGTCAACCCGTGGTACATCACCTTTGCTTTCAGCCGATGGCACGAAAGTAATATCTGATCGAAATGAGATCCTTAATCGGTGGGTCGAACACTTCAATGAACTTCTTAATCGTGCCTCGACTGTACAACAAAATAGTATCGATAACATCAAACAGCAGCCAGTACAGGAACACCTGGCCGATAGACCAACAAAAGCAGAAATTCGTAAAGCTATAAAACTACTTCAAAGTGGAAAGGCACCAGGAGAAGACGGGATACCCGCTAAAATTTACAAACATGGTGGAGAGGCAATTATCAGCCATCTCTTCTCCCTATTCGGTTATATCTGGAGAGATGAAGACATCCCACAGGAGCTCAAAGATGCCATAATTGTCACGCTATACAAGAAGAAAGGGAGCAAGTCAGATTGCGGTAACTACCGGGGAATTGAGCTATTGTCACACTGCTCCAAAATCCTGGCAAAGATTTTACAGATGCGTTTAGTTGAAAGCATCCTGGATGAAAATGTTTGAACAGCGGACATGATTTTTGCAGTAAGGCAATTGCAAGAAAAAAGCATTGAACAGAACATGCCTTTATATGCGGTGTTCATCGACCTGACTAAAGCCTTCGATACGGTATCACGGGAAGCGTTGTGGAAGATCCTATTAAAATTGGGTTGCCCCACAAAGTTTGTAAATGTCCTTAAACAACTTCACGAAGGGATACAAGCGAGGGTCTGTTCCGAAGGCCAGTTCTCCGACAGTTTCCCCATAAATAATGGCGTAAAACAAGGTTGTGTTGTAGCGCCGATCCTATTCATCTTGTTCTTCGGGGCTATGCTGAAAGACTGCTTAGATGGTAATGACAAAGGTATTCGCGTGAATTTCAGAACAAATGGCGGATTGTTCAACTTACAACGTCTGCGCGCCAAAACAAAGATAAGAGAACAACTTGTAAGGGAATTATTATTTGCAGATGACTGCGGCATATTCCCTCATTCTGTAGAAGATTTACAATCGTTGATGGACAGTTTCGCAAATGCGTCTAGACGCTTTGACTTGACAATCAGCATAAAAAAGACAGAAGTATTATGCCAACCACCACCAGGAGTGCTTCTAGATAAACCATCAATCATCGTGAACGGTCAAAAACTGAAAACAACTAAAACATTCCCGTATCTTGGTAGCACAATATCCGATGATGCGCAATTAGACCATGAAATCGAAAGAAGGATAGCAAAAGCCAGCTCCTCTTTTGGAAGACTCAAAGATCGTGTATGGAAGAGTCATGATATCAAACTAGAAACAAAAATAGGTCTGTTCAAAGCAGTTGTTATATCAACGCTCCTGTATGGAGGGGAAACATGGACGTTGTATGCCAGGCACATCAAAAAACTAGAAGTTTTCCAGCAACGATCCCTCCGTAGCATTATGCGGGTAAATTGGGAAGAAAAGACGCCACACAGCGAAGTGCTAGAGCGGGCAAAATGTTGTAGCATTGAAAGCATTCTGAAAAAAAGGCAGCTTCAGTGGGCTGGTCACATTGTGAGAATGGATGATGAACGATTACCTAAAATATTGTTGTACGGGGAGTTACAACAAGGAAACCGAATGGTGGGAAGACCGCGAAAAAGGTATAAGGATAGCCTGAAAGATCATAGGCTGCCCAAAAGTGCGTGTTGTAATTTTTACCCTCGCGCGTGGCGCTCGGGCATGCATCGAGTCTACTCAGTTTATTATTATGAGAGAAAAACAAAAGAAAAAAGATTAAATACAAGTTCAGACTCAAAGAGAGGAAAACTAAACCAAAAAGCAATAAATTTACATACACCAAACATACTAACATCAAATCATGGAAACACAGTCTAAAATCGAACAGTAATCTCAAAGCTATGCAAAAACGTAACCTCATGAAAATCCACAATCTCTCTACCATCAAAGAACGTAACAGCACCTTAATTACCAATATCCAATCAACCATCAACATCGAAACATACCGTAAATCTGGCACCAATATCACTACCACCATAAAATCTACCTCAGCAGAAAATATCCATACCCTACAAGATAATATTTCAAAATTAAAACAAGATAACATTATTATACTACAGAAAATCCAAACATTAAAGAATAACACAGAATCAACCTCAACATCTAGAATTAATAACATCGCCAAAGTCAGTACTAACAAAGGCTATTCCATCAAAACCCGTCTCCTTTCCATCAAAACTAACCTATACCTATTCCATAACTACCTCAACAATCGTCTATCCCTTTCCAATACTGTCATCGCTAATAACCTCAAGCAAGAATCCACCACTAAACGTCAACTTAAATTCTTACAAGAACAAATTACCCTATCCTCAACTAACAAAATACATAATTTTACCTCTACCCATCTACCGCAAGATACCATCGACCTGCTTAATAAAGGAACTAATTTCATACCGACACCCTCTAACCTCGATCCCACTCATTTACAAGATACGATTTCTACAGAAGTTAACGATGCTCTCATCAAATTGATTAATAAACCCCATGGCCAATCCTTTATATCCAATAATAATAAACAAACCCAATATAAATCTAAGAAGAACGTAACCTATAAGAAGAAATCGCCTACAACTCTACTAAAAGAAGAACAATCCAAACCTAATTTTAATTATCATCTCATAGAATACATTCATAATACCTCCGCTTATACCAAACACTACTTACAAAATACTAACCTTAACGACATTACTCATTCGCATCTTCTTAACGTTTCTTCGTCTACTCTTCAGCACATTACGGAACTAGAAAACAACCCAGACATTATTGTAACACAAACAGACAAAAACATGGGATGGGCGCTTGTACCTACTATATGGTTTACCAACGAATACAAACGACATCTTAACGATACATACACATACACTCTTATTGACAACTTTAACATAGAACGTCACATTACAGACAGTAACAAGCTTTTATATAAACTTAAATCACGTTTTAACGATTACATCACGCCAGACAAACGTAAACTACTAAACCCTGCTGACATTAACGACATTCAAATACCTTACATGAAACTGTTACCTAAAGTACACAAACTCACATCAACTGCTTCTCCTCGTAACCTCGATCTTTTAACCGGTAGACCAATCATCACAGCACATTCATGGACAACTTCAAACGTTTCAAAACTATTAGGCACAGAACTCGACAACATCATCAAACAACTTAAAGATCTTTTCCATTCCAAAAACATTCACTTTCCACTTATCTACAACTCGTCTGAACTAATCGACTTATTACAACAACAACAACATGTTACAGACATAAACAATTCTAAACTAACAACTTTTGACTTCACTTCCTTATATACCAAAATCTCTTTTCAGGATACAATCAATGCCATCGTCTCTAGCTGCAAACTACTCAATTTCTCCAACTTTTATCGTGACTTTTTACTTAATCTTAACGACTTTATTAACAACAGAAACTTCTTTTCTACTGGACAAAACATCTACCAACAGACACAAGGCGTGGCTATGGGCAGTTATCATAGCCGTCAAATCGCCGATCTTGTACTCCTTATTAGCGAATTTTATTATTTTACTAACAACAGAACAATTAAGCATCCTATTTTTTCTCGTTACATTGACGACGGTTTTTTGTTTACTACTAATAATACTAATCCACTAGACATTATCACTAACCTCATCTCTTATTATCCAAAGCAAATTCCAATCACCTTTACATCCAATCAGCATTGTGTCCATTACCTCGATCTGACCATTTCACTCGACTATCATACTCTCCTATACAATAAAATTCATTATCAAGTATATCAAAAACCGAAGCACAAATACATGTATCCTCATTTCTCCTCCAACCATCCTTCACATATCTTTCCTGGCATTATCAAAACTGAAACTATTAGATACAGCAGACTTTCCTCTACTCCTGACGATTATAACTTTGTACGCAAACTTTTCTCCCTTCGACTTAAATCTTTAAACTATCCTTCCAGACTAATCACAACCAATACCTTTCCTTTTCTTTCATACCATGGACATAACATGGACATGGTCATAATAATAAACTGAGTAGACTCGATGCATGCCCGAGCTTTGCCCGAGCTCCACGCGCGAGGGTAAAAATTACAACACGCACTTTTGGGCAGCCTATGGAAAGATGCGCTAAAATCGTGCAATGTTCCGCTGCAATCTTGGGAAACACGTGCAGAAGATAGGGCTTCATGGCGAACTGCAATCCATACTGGTGTTCAATCTTTTGAAGCAGGCCTGACAGAGAGAATACGACAAGCTCGACTCCGGCGTAAATGGCCTGATCAAGCTGATGCAACAGGATTCATGTGTGATGTGTGTCAACGGCCCTGTGCGAGCCGAGCGGGTTTGGTGGCTCATGGGAGAGTTCATAGACGGTGACCCAACCCCCGACGAAAAAGGACATCTTCGAAATCGAAGAGTCATCCATTATTATATTATTAGTCGACTATAAGAAAGCCTTTGATATGGTTGATCACTGTATCCTGCTTGATAAACTTGGAGCATGCCATCTTGATCAGAGCTCGCTTGATTGGTTTAAATCCTATCTATCAGACCGTAAACAATATGTTAACTTCAAAGGCCAGTCTTCTACAACAAAAGTAATCACGGACGGAGTACCACAGGGTTCTATCCTTGGGCCTCTATTGTTTCTCGTTTTTATAAACGATTTGCCTCTACATATCAACACCTAAGTAGATTTATTCGCTGATGACACTACCTTACTCGCTGCCACTGATTATAATGATATTAATGAACTTAATGAGAAATTATCTCTGGAAGTCTCTAACGTTCAAAACTGGGCCATTACCAATAAACTGCCTCTCAATACCACTAAGACTAAAACCATTCTGATTTCTGGTAAACGTCTTAAAGCTAAGCTTACTCCTGAGAATCAAACTCTCAATATTAAATTGAACGATGATTCATTAGAACAAGCGCACACTGTGAAATTACTGGGCTTTAATATTGATGAAGATTTAAACTTTGACACTCATGTTGATATAATGGCAATGAAACTATCGAAACGTATTGGAATATTGAAGTCTATAAAATCCTACCTGCCTCGAAACGAACGTATTCTTTTCTACAATGCTATGATCAAACCTCTATTTCTCTATTGTAGTATAACCTGGACAAACTGTAGTAAGAACAATATCACTAAAATTTTCAAACTTCAAAAACGCTGTGCCAGAATTATCCTTGACGCTGAACCTCGTCATTCCTCGATTAATCTATTTAATAATCTTGGTTGGTTACCTTTTTACGTAGAGTCGGATATCAGAAAATGTATTATGATCTACAAGCGTACTATTAATGCTACTCCGGAGTACTTAAACAGACTATTACATTTAAATAGCCAACAACATACGAGGAACCAACATATACTACAGGGTCGCCCAGGGAAAAATTCAATTCCGGACCCCTCGTGATTCCATCTTCCAACACTATTATTTTTTTTTTTGGGGGGGGGGTCGGATCTGGGGCAATCTCCCCATGAAAATTTTGAAATCTGAGGTCCCAGAAATGACTAGCCTGCATGGCAGGCGGTACGTAGGAAATACCGCCTGCCGCAAAACTGGGTGTAAATGAACTACCGCCCCTGAAGCATCAACGCTATTTATAGATGCATTAATTAAGTAAATATTCAAAATTAGCCACTCCCAAGCTGCTCCCAAGTCGGAACGAGGTTGCTCCCAAGTCCCAACTGCCCAACATAAAATAAATTCCTTTATTCTCATCATCGCCCGACTGAATTTTAAAATCCTCGTGAAAACGTTTTATTTTTCGTTATACAATATAAATGTACCGCCCGACAAAATAATTCAAGACAGTTAATTTTTTCATATTTTATATAGAGTTTTTATTGCCATTTTAAACTTCCAATTTGAAACAAACAGAATTTTGAGTGAAATTTCATTGTATTTTAAAGAAAATCAGTCATTCTGTCATTGTTCGTGGAGATACGAACTATTGATATATAAATTATATAAATATAAAATATAAAAAATAAATCTCCCACTGTCTTCGACATTTCAAAGTGTAGACTGTGTCTAGTGATGAGAATCAAGGAATTTATTTTATGTGTTAATATAAACCAAGCCCGTTTAGCCGCCTTACTGTAAAACGGTGGTTTAATAAGCTCAAAATACAAAGCATGCAAGTCTCCAACCTCGTACCCAGGGCTAGTCGCGAATTGAAGGCGGCGACGTACATAGAGATTATAAATAACACTAGAGGAGGCATTGTAATCTTAATTCAGTAAAAAAAAGGGAACGCGACTATTGGGGGGCAAATTCAAGTCCCGGATGTGTATTCGTGTTCCCATTGGTGACGAGTTTCAAATCAGCCAATGAGAGCACGATTTTATATCCGGGACTTGAATTTGCCCCCCATTAGCTGCGTTCCCAATTTTTAAACTCGATGCCTCCTCTAGTGTTATTTATAATCTCTATGGCGACGTAGCCCTGGTAAACGCTGGTCACGTGTCAGGCAAATACTCCAAGATTCTTGGAGTATTAGCCTGCGAGCGGGCTTTGTGGAAATAAAGACAGGGGGGCGACGAAAAGTTCACGAATGGAACTTGAATTGCCGCGGATTATTTATATTCTTTTATTTTTGTTGTAATCTTTCTTCTTAATATGTTACGTTTATATATTACGTCGAATGTACATCAATCTTCTTTTATATCGCATCATGTAAATCGCCGAGGAGGCGATGTTTCGAATTTCGAAGCAGTGAAAATGGAGCCAATCTCGTACATACTATTTGTGATGATTTCCATCAAGTATAAAAAGGTACAGTATATATGAATTTGAAAATGTATTTCATTGTTACAAATTATTTAGCAGATTCCCATTATTTGTTACACTGCCTAGCTCTATGAAATATATATTTCGAAGGCTATTTACTGTAATATATTTTATACAGTATGTTAATATAGTTAGCTGAATTTGTACAATTGTAGTTTTATTATGTATTGTCAATACTGAGAAACACATGGCCAGACTATGGCCTATAATACTATACTCGGACTCTCAGTAAAGTTCTACTCTCACATGATTATTATTTACAATATTGATTTATCGCTGCGAGAAACGTGTTTACACTTTAATACAGTATTATTAAACTACATTTTACAGCAGTATAAACTTCAAATACTTTGTAGTTACATTTATACAGTAATGACCTGAAATTATTTAAATGAGGCATTACTGTAATAACAGAGTGGCCAGGTTGACAAAGCTAAAATCTGATGAACCTAACCTGCTAGGATATTTCAATAGTCAAACATCAGTTTCAACACTCCAGCTGGTCAGGGATTTTTGGGGAAAAGTTTTAGCACCCCATTGTAAAACCTGCCCCTGAATCTCAAAATTTCATTATTTTGTTCCCTTGCCCCTACAATCTATATTTATACCTTTTGTGCCCTTGAGATCTTTAAAAAAATTGCCTAACTCTGCAGTATGGCGTGTAACCTTGTTGCCATATTTATTTTCTGACTTCGGGCTTCAATAAATTTCTACTCTAATACCCGACAGAGATGGGGCCATATGTATGAACAATAAGAAATGATTTCTTCATCTATTATTGACCCCTTACCTTTCACCCAATTTTAAAATTAAATTTACTGAATGATTTTGAAGTTTTCTAGATTATTGAAAAGAACTTTATGGGTACAAGAAATGGGGCGAAAACAGTTGAATTAAGCAAGATGCAAGTAACAATGAACCAGACCGGGTCACTGGATGGTATTTCAGCACACTGGTGGAGATGCAACCTAATACCTGCAACCTGTGTCACATTTATATATATAGTTTTACACTGTACTGGAAAAATAATGTCAAGGAACTTGTAGAGATTCAGATTGCACACTTCATGGTTTATTCAATCACCAGCATGCATGAATCATTTTATGTTATGAATGTTTTTTTAAAATTATTCTCACTTAGATAAAATTATATCAATTTTTAATATCATGAATATATAGTAAGCTTTTGATTAAACAAGTTATAATAATATATCAACAAATAATGACTGGTCTCTCTGAAATCCATATAGAAAGGTTCAAATTTAACTTCCACTACCACTACTTGATCTGGCAGTTGCATCCGATTGTTTGATTGGATAAATGAAACTTATCTTGTTAGAACTTTAATGATAGCAATAGCAGCAGTGGAAGTAAAATCTGATCTCTCTATTATTTTTTGAAGATTTTCTCTAGTCACGTCAATTCAGGGTTGCCCATGCAACTTGGTTAGCACAGCTAGCTCTTCAAGTTGGCAGTCCAATTCTTAGGATTCTGCAAATTAATTCTAGAAAACTGGCTTTGGTTTGGGCTAAGCAAAAATCATCGCACTGTTTATCATGCTGATTTGGTTGTTTAACAGTTAAAGTCCAGGCTGCATGTTTTTTGTCCTGCATATGGCAGATGGGACAGTCTGGTTTCCAAGTGTTTATGTGGGGAATTAATATTAATCAGGACTGGCTTCTGAGTGAAGGTCTTGCCTGCTTTATGTGAGAGCAGGCTCTATGCGAGATTCCAATTGCTACACAGCATGATCTCAGGGCTCTTCCTCTGAAACAATGCTTGGTTGCAATATCATCCAGCAAGTGCAAAAATGTACTACCACGGTCAAGGATCATTTGGCATGTTCATCCACGGGCAATAGGACAGGTGTAGTGTTGTTAAATAGAAAGTTAGAAATGGTATAATTGTACTTACTCATGTATTATAATTATGTTTAAAAGATGAGAATATTCATAACTTCTTATTTTGTTTCATAAATAGTTCTTTAATATTCGAAACAAATTCCATATCTGCTTCGTCTGCCATCGCCATGTTTACTCGTCCCAATCTACATGCTGCACGGCATTGCCGCCCCTCCTGGCAAAATAATAAGCAAGCGAGAAAAATTAAGGAGAAAATAAGAGGGTAGGAACATCGTTGTCATAAGCTGGATGCAGTGACACTTCCATATATGGCACAAACGTATCCATAACTTCCATATATGGCACAAACGTATCCACGACGCGTTTTATAACGTTTTATTTGACGTAGGGATGACGTGTAAGCTGCTTCCCGCCTATGACGATTTGAATTAGTCATGTGATACAAGATTGAGAAAGCTGATTCGCCCAGAACGATGACACGCCCACGAAACGCCCACAATGTTCCTACCCTCTTATTTTCTCCTTAATTTTTCTCGCTTGCCTATTATTTGCCAGGAGGGGCGGCAATGCCGTGCAGCATGTAGATTGGGACGAGTAAACATGGCGATGGCAGACGAAGCAGATATGGAATTTGTTTCGAATATTAAAGAACTATTTATGAAACAAAATAAGAAGTT